CTGAGTCTGCTGGAGAAAGATCGGTGACCTACTTACCTCCCAGCCACCTAAAACACCCTCTGGCCAGCGTAGAGAAAGGAGTCGGTCTGCTGCCAAGAGGTCAGACTGGCAGCAGCAATAGTACTTCAACCCCTGACTCTGACTCTGGGTCACAGTCTAGACCTGAACTGACCCTGTCAAATCAACCCAGGGATTCTAACTCAGCATGGGCAGCAAGGGCATCAGCCCAGGCTTCACTGTCACTCAGACCCCCCATCCTCCACCCCACTACTGGACTACCTAAGGGCTACACGCCCATCCCCACCCTGCTGGCTAAGAGTGTGGGAAACAAAGTGACCTTAATGAAACGGCCTGCTGATTTCCAAGGGGTCAGCAACATAGACAGACAGAGCAAAAGGTCTTTGATCTCTCTGCCTAATTCTGCAGTGACTACCGCAAAACTTTCAAAAGCACAAAGTTCCCCAACCAGTTCCCAGCAGAACTCAAAACAAATGCAGGCACAAGGATTACAACAGACAGAAGTACTTAGACAGCCAGGTATGACCACAGTGACGGCAGCTCTTCCTAGATCACCCCAGGCCAAACCCATCCAGACTGTACCAAAAAATCCTGTCCAAGTGGTGTACAAGTTACCTGAGAGGCTGGGTCACCTTGTAAGGAAAGATAACAGTAGCTCAGTCAAGATCTCTGTTCATCCTGTCCTGGACCAGAACACTGGGGAGAAGATCATGCAGCAAGTGGTGATTCTACCTTCTAACCTTCTCATTCACAAAACAGAAGAAAAGCTGTCTTCTTTACATCAGCAACAGTCTAAGGGCATTCAGGTCCCAGTTTCTAAAGTGACCAACCCTTTATGTATGTCCACCAATGTGCCTGGGTTTGCCATTCCCGAACACAGAATTCCAGTTCAGCAAGTGGCTCCCCTAAAAGATGCCAGGACAGTGAGGTCCCCTTCTCCTTCGATATCCCCTCGTCTACAACAGATGGCCCTAAACACCACAGGGTTCACAGGGGCACAAGTCTGCACACCCCAAGCTAGCATATCACAAGGTGTCACGCCAAACCCCTCACCCATTACAACTTCTAGTGCAATTTCTACTAAATCTCCAGACCCTAAACAGGAGCTTAAGACTGTGTGTATTCGTGACTCACAGTCAATCCTGGTAACAACTAGAGGAGGCAACACAGGCATCGTCAAAGTCCAGACATCCTCAGACCAGAATGCACTTGGTTCTTTGCCAACCAGTCCAGTCATCACTATCTCACCTCAGTTTAAAGCCTTCCTCGTATCCAAGACGTCACAGACTCTTTCTCCTTGTGCTCCCTCTCAGACCTCCCCTTGCAACGTCCCTACAGTGAAAAATGTCTCAGTGGCCCAACCTCAAAAGCAGGTTCCTTCAGTATTAAAGTCCCCTCCCGCTGTCGCAGCGCCAATCCTTACTGCACTTACTGGTAGCATTCCCATCCCAGGAAGTGAGACTGCAGGCACTTCTGTTGCTTTAAGTCAAGGCTCCAACACCTCAGCTGGTTCTACTGTTGCAACAAAGATTGGCCAGCTTGCACAGACAGCAGCTTCTGGCTCTCATTCTCAAGCTTCATTAGGAAAAAACACTGTTGTTGTCCCTTCACTGAGTAGTTCTGGTGTTCCACAAGTTCTCAAACAAGCAGAGTTCATCAGCAAGACCGGTGTGAAACGGGCCAGTACAGATGAGAGGTCCCAAATCACTAAATTCATCCTGGTTACTCCCACTTCTTCCTCTGTCTCAAATGTAGCCTTATCAAAAGGTACACCCTCTTCCACAAAATCACTTAATTCAAGAGTCATGTTCATCAGCCAGCCCACAGCGACATCATCCACCACCTCTGTGGGAGGCATTCCTAAGCAGGTGTTAGCAACAGGGACTAGTGGACAGCTGCTGACCACTTCATTATCAAGTCAGACTCTAAAGATGGGATTAAACCCAGGCCAACATGTTGGCGGTGTCACCTCAGAAGCATTTTCCAAGTTCAAGAACATCACTCTTCCCTCAGGTGGGTTTGTTTGATGTGTTGTTTTACTGGTATTCTCATATGTATGCTGTATCTTGTGTTTGAAGCTATAGTTTGTATATGCTATAGGATTTAGTAATTTAAATGTTGTATTAAAGCAGTAATACTCATACCCTGAATGTCAAGCCATTGAAAAAAAATTGGGAACAAAATCTTTCTGATGTGTCTCCAGGGGTTCAAATCCAGCTGTCAGGGAAGACGACAGCCATTGGACAGACCATTGGTACTCTGTCACATTCTCCTTCCAAGAGCACACCAGTGTCTGTCTCAGAAACAGGCCGTTCAACAGTCACCACCACTGGACTGGTCCCAGTCACAAATTTAAATGCCATCACAAGCTGTTCTGCCCAGCTTTCTTCCCACGCTTCTCTGACCACCCGCTCTCAGCTCCAGGCTATCCCTTCCTTCACCCTGACCTCCCAACCAGGCTCATCTACATCTACTGCTGTCACTTTGCCTGCAGGAAACATGATAAAGAAAGACCATGGTATGCCCGCAAGTATACTGACCACCAACTCTCCTGCTCAGGTAACCCCATCCGTGCAGACTAGCCCACCCCAAACCTCTACACCCACTCTTGTCCGTCAGCCTTCAAATATACAAAGTGACATTGGTGAGGAAACCACTTCCTCCTTATCTTCCTCTCAACTCGCTCTCAATAAAACCCAAACACCTATCTCCTCTGCAACAAACCCTAATACCCCATTCAGCACCTCTGCAACTGGCACAGTCCAGCAGAGGATAGTCATCAACACCTCTACACCCCTTGGTGCTGGCACACAGATCCTCCTTAATAATGCACGTTTTGTAGTCCCTCCCCAGGGTTTGGGTCCAGGCAGCCATGTTCTTATCATCTCTAGCCCTGCACCACAACAAGTGCCTACTGCCAGTGCTACCGGCACTGGAGCATCAGTACCTCCCCAAGGTGCAAGCCATGTCACTGTAGCCCCTGGAGCAACAGTTTTACCCCACACCCCAGCGAGGCTGCCTGGTGTGCCAGTCGTAAGTTCTCCTTTTGTAGCATGCACTCCTGCTGTTGGTCCACCATTGCTAGCAAACACTCCCAATGTCACGCCAGCCCGACTAACAGGAACACCAGTCCAGGGTTCAACATTATTACCCAGTAAAACAAATTTAGTGTCTGCGCTGCCTAGATTACCGGCTGTGCAGGCTGCTAACTTTGCATCACCTCTTTTAGGTGCACCCACTCTTGTCCCATCCCCCCCAAGGTTAGGCAGTGTACCAGCCCTAGTTTCCCCAGTAGTAACTAGTGCCCCTGTTCTCGGCTCAGCATTGGCTACAATCAGGTTATCTGCTGGTACACCCATGCAAGCTGAAAGTTCAACCACCATATCACCTGTAGTAGCACCGCCCTTGTCCAGATCGTCGGCCCCTTTATCATCCGTGTCTGTTTTACCCAGACCGTCAGCCGTTGCCCTACCCAGCCCTGTCATACCAGTTCCCGCACACCTCTCCTCAGCTGCAGCTCCTGTGATAGCAGATACACCAGCTTTGCGTTGTTCTTCTCCTGCCCAGCAGGTGGTTTCAGTGACAGCTGTTGGCCCAGGCATACAGTGCCAGCAGACAGCAGATGGAATTGAAGCACCTTCTGCTGCTTCATCACAGGCTTTAATTCATACGGGGCAAGGCAACACATCAATCAAAAAGACGGTGCCTGCAGTCACACAACCAGTACTCGCTGGCATGCGAACCCAAGTACTGCCAACAGTGGCTGTCCCACCAATTGTAAGTGCAGTGTCGAGGATGCAGACGTTGCCCGTTGCTACGGTTCCACCAATTGGAAGCACTTTCAACACCTTTGAAACAGCACCTGTGGTGATGGCACCTTCATCCAGCAGCACTATAATAGTCACTCCAGCTCAACCAATCACATCACTGAGGACAAGCAACACCATCCACCAACCTGTTGTTCTGACCAATCAAGCGCTTGGAAAGCACTCTCCGCAGACCTCTTGCTTAGGTATGCATACCAATGTAGCATCCAAGCTGCTCATTAGTCCTGATGGCGCTGTTTTGAACACAGTTCAGTGCCAGGTCAATCCAGAAGAGCTGACTGCCTGCCCTAAACCATTGGATGCACTGGTGGTTTCCCCCAATAGTTCCACTGGAGCACTACACACACACGATTCCTCTTTACAGCCTTCACAGGCAGACAGAGAGTGCACCAATTAACAGAGACTGTGCCAGCTCGGTGAGAACACCACTTTTCAGCTGCTTGGTTTTGGCAGGACTCATATCCATTGCTTGTAGTAATCTTGGGATTAGTTTGCTAACTGCTTTCCAGCTGTAGTTTGACTTGTAACTTACATTTAGGATACAGTAGGTTATACCCTCTGGTTAGATCATCTTATAGGCAAACTGTATGCTCAATCAGACATACTGGACATGTATACTGTGATGGTTTTCTCAAGTGAAAAATATTGAGGTTCCCCTCAGATGAATGTTGGAGACTCTTGACTTTCCCTTTTTTTTTTTTTTTTTTTTTTACTTAATGGCCAGTAAGGACAACTGTTATAACAAATAAGTAGAATGGAAGGATAGATAAAATGAATTTCAACTTGAGCTTTTGTAATACTTTTCAATGCTTCAAGAAGTAATAATTGGGATACTATTCATTGGTACAAGTTGCTCTACTTTATCTGTCAGTTTGAACAATAAAACTGGCTGTATCCAGATTGTCCATTGTTCTGTTACATTGTCTATTTCCAACTAATAACTGTTTGACAACTACATTTTACTTTTTAGAAATATAAATTAACTAATAGATGAATTTGTACTACATGTTTGAGCCCATATAAAATGTTTTGAAGTCATATTTATTTATTTTTACCATATAGATTTTTCAAAAGTATTTACTAGGTACATTTTCATTGAACAAATGTGGACGTTACTGCATGGAAATAAACAATGCGACTGTCCCCAACAAGTGTGTTTGAGCTGCTTCCTTAAACACAGACTCTTGTGAAATCATTTTTACTTTATTGAAACAACCCCAGTATATACATTGTGTTCATTCATGTGAATAATTTTAAACAGTGAGGGATACAATTGTTTTACCTTTTGGTATATCTAGCTACGAAACAAAAGGAACCATATTGACAGTGACATCAGATTACATATAAGACAACAGATACAGTTTTGTTGTCCAGTATTTTCCTTTCTTCTTCAGATATCTGTCCATCTTCTACAGAAGTCCTTTAGGGGGAATAGGGAGGAGGCAGCTGTCCAGAGGAAACCTTTTCATAGGCTGGAGGAGCATTGGGAACCTGGAGAAGAATGCAACAAATGCATCCAAATGATACAGCTGAAAATGTGAAGAAAGGTTTCCACACTCTTGACAGGGTCATATTTTTTCACTGAACATATATTGTGTTTATACAATATTGAATATTTAAATCGATGTTGCCTTTTTTAATGGCTATATCATATCAAATGCAACATTTTACACATCATATCTGGAAACTTAATGCACTTTCTAGGCTCAACAGTGGGTCCAATGTGGTTAAAATGATATTTTCTCCTCTATAACTCTGGTAACAGCTGCTGTAGAAAAAGATGGGAATTATTAAAGAACATTTTGCTCTTTCATCTTCAACTCATGAGAGGGTGCTGATCTGATCCTCCTCCCTTGACTTTTCCCCCACATGCATGGATACACATACCACCCTTGGGAATGAAACATTATTAATACCTACCCCAAGTCTGGTGACACAATAATCTCTCCTTCAGGCACCCATTGCATCAGCTTCACATGCTCTACACTGCTCAGAGCCTGGAGGCTTTCTAATAAACAAGTCCACCCTCTGTTATGGACTTTAGGTTGTAGAGAGTTTAAGTCTGCCCACCAACTTACTGTTGATTGGTTATGTATTCAAAATGACAGATGTGTTTACATTGGCAAACAATAATACCTTTACTTCCTATGTGTCCAGCTGTTTAATATTTCTCCATTTCCTGACTAAAAATACTTGATTTAGGGACAGATAATGGAAAGCCAGGGTAACTGCCTGTCCCTCACCACGGGTAGGAAACTGCCAAAATCAGTTAGAGCCATCTTGTTATCTGCTGATGGTCCTGCCTCTGAGTACTGGCCTCTTGTGAAACCTGGTGAACCCGATCGAGGGTTCTGCAGAGGAGAGAAAATGTGTGAAGAATAATGTGAAAACGGGAAGAAATAAGGACAAGGTGATAAATTTGGGGAAAGCAAGAAATGCAGCATGAAAAGAAATTCAACAAGGAACACGGATCTTTGAAAGAGGTTGTAAATCAGTTTTAGCATCTTAATTTTCACATGAATTTACCTTATTGTATCAATTTGATTGACCCATCAAATGAAGGGTGGAAATTGCTTCTATTAGTTAGAATAACACAAAACTCCTAACTAAGTATAAAATGTGAGCTAATACTTTGGGCTCACCCTGATTATTTTGTAGCCACTCCTCTTCTTGAAGTACCAGCAGCCCAGGATGAGGAGAGCTGCCAGGATGACCACCAGAAGAATTATGCCCACTGCCCTGTGGCGTACAACACAATTCACATAGAGACAGAACATTTTTTAGTTTATGCTTTATCTATTAACTTTGGCACATCCATTTTATAGTATTCACCACAATATACAGAATACAAAATGCTCCAGAACAAGCATCGGTCACTGAAATCCTCATACTCCTCTGCTCTGATGTATCCTCGTCTGCTGCTGGCAAAATAAATGTTGAAGTCTCCACGAGGCATTCCGTCTGTACGATTACACCACATCCAGCTGAAAGTCAGCAGAAAATCACATAAACTGTGCAAGTACAATGTAGTGACATAGTGACTAACTATTTCTAACAGCTTGGAATCATACTCCTTTTTATCATGTAAATAAAGGTAGGCCTTGGCCTATATAATGATAAAAACTAGACATCACTATCACAAGGATGCATGTAGCCTACATGGTTATCAGTATCCAAGCAGGACACAGTCAGTCTAGTCAAGCTTAACCACTGAAGCTGTGCATGTTATATTGTTATATATTTGTTATATAATATAATATAGTGTTAATATAATATTTTTTCATTGTCTTCATTGTAAGCCTATCTCATTAAGATTAATGAATAGAAAAGTTAAAATTTTATGAAAATGTATCATATTTAGTAATTATTAATTAATGGATTTTTTTATGTAAAAGCGTCAACCATTTTTACATAATAGAAATGGATAATCTCTGACTGCTTTCTCCACCCTACTGCTTAGACTGCAAAGTCTTTCTGTAGGAAAATATTTTTTGGGTAACATTTTAATTAGATGAGAGTGCAATGTTTACGCTGACATGTGTCATTTGCTTTTTAGTGACATAAAATAGTTTCTGGGTAGGTATTTGCAGCATTTGCACATTCAGATTAAGTTCAATATGTTCTGCCCCCACCAGCCTACTGCTCAGAAACTAACGCGTGTCCTGCTATATTTTCATCCCTCTCTCACCTGGTATTGGTGCTCTCTCGCCCTGTGTTTAGGCACCAAAGAGTAATCTGATAACTGGCTGACCAATGCTTGCAAATATGTAAAAACATAGACTGTATATGTTTGATAGCGAATATCTATAGCTATAGGCTACAGTATCATTTTTTTGTTAAAACTTGACTTAGGTTGCATAAAATATGTAAAATATGTAGGCCTACAGAGTAGCCTAAGTATAAAGATCAAGAATCGATCAGTACATAATCTGTTATACGAAGTGGTCATTGTTAGTCATCCTGATGGGAGATAGCATCACTTGTAGTTGCATAGTAAGTTGATGCTAAAGCAGTCTGCAGCTATTCCTCCTGATCAGATAATAACAGCCTGTTTGGAATCCAGCTGTTCATTTAAAGTAGGCGAACTCATTGCACAATAAAAAATATTCTAAAGTACGCCTATAATAGGGCTGCCTCTGCTAGAAAAAAAAAAAAGACAAACAAACCGCCATCTTACCAAATTGGATAATTCAATTGCAGAGAACAGTTCCTCTGGTTGGGATGCCTTCTCAGAAAGACTGGTTCCTCGGAGCTCTGTGTGATTACCCTCCTCAAATATCTTGCTTCCGTGTGCTTTAGAGCAGAGAGAGGCAGAAAGCCCTCATGACCGTCACGGGTTAGAGGCTCATAGTTAAACCCATTGAAGCAGAGTAATTACCGTGAAACCCCGCGGTCCTGAACGCAACATTATTACCCACTCGTGAAACTACAGGCATCAGCTGCTGGCTTTTCATATCAGTGTTTGTGTGTGGTACTGTTTTTCAAAAATATACTAATCCAAGTTCTACAGTAAATGTATAGAGCTAATACCTTCAACTGAGTAAATAATTTAAAAAGTCTCCCTAAACGCCCAAATTCAATACCATAGCAAGCTACAAGTGCCTTGGAAATATTATGGTTGTTGGCTATAAAATATAGACAAATACAATCAAAATAGACATACTATTATGTCATAAGCTCCTCATCAAGTACTGCACAGCTAAATAACCTTATTCTCTTGAAGGAAGACTGATCAGGCAAGGTGGTTGTCATGGCTGGAAACAGGCACCATCAGAATATATAGGCCAGAAAAAATTTATTTTGAGGTATGAATGAAATGTTTTATATTTTGTTTAGTATTGAATTGTAGGCCCTACCGATTGAATTGTGGTTTCTCAACATGTGATCCATTTTCCCACAGCTAATTTCAGACCACTATGCTAATACAGCTAAACAATGGCTTACAGGGGTTGGGTGGATTGATCACTTCTTTAAAAAGTGTTACAACTGTCCTCTATACCGTCTTTCTTAAAGTGTGTTACAGAGTGCCCGATGCAGTCTCTATGCCCATCAATCCTGCACTCCAGAGTTACCACCATTCATTTGTCAGCACTGTGACTAGTGCATGAACTGGTGCCAACACTCCCCATTTACATGCTGTTCCCAAATTCAGTACGTTATAGTTGCTGAAGCAAAAAAGTTTATTATATTATTTTGCTTTGAGGCAAAAACAAATAAATAAATATTCTAAAATGAATGCTTATGATAGTCATGATCATTACTTACATGCCATGAACAAAGAGTCACCCAGACTGAAAGATAGGGAAGCAGCAAAAAGTTTGCTTTAGTCTGCAAATAATTTTTAATTTGTCTCCACAAGAGGGAGACCAAAACCTGTTTATGAAATTGAAAAAGCTGATCCCAGCAGGCCTAGACGTTGATCTATTATGCACTCTGAATTAGTATGTTTTCAAATGACCTGCGTGTTTTTGCACTTTTTCTTTTCACAATCCTGAATAGTTTGGAGCATGTGAGGAAACTTGAGACGAAGACTTTGGTTAATGCTGTGTACGTTTTCTTTTTAGTGGGAAGCAGTCACCTGTTTAGCTGGTTGTTGACGTGTTCACTGTGATGACAAGGCCACACAAGTGAAGTGAATGCCACCTGATAAAAAAAACCAAAAACATAAAATTTAGGCAATTGGGCCTAACGTTACTAGATCCCACTGTAAGGGAAGCATAATGTCAGGAATAGTGTTTTAGTTCTGTTAGTCAAAGCTTTAAAGTACGGTAATCACAGACCAATATGATGCTAAACCCCATGAATACTCTTTAATCATTACTGGATTTAATTATTTGCCTGTATAAATACTTGATTTTTTTTGTTGGCAAACCACCACCGTAATATTATTTAAGGATCCTGGGAGGTCCCCGCTGATTATCAATGGCCGATTATGTCCGTATAGTAGGGTCTTCAACGTTAGTTAGCCTGACTCCCAACCGGTTGAGGGAGTTCTTGCTTTTACCGGTTCTTCCGGTCGGCATTTTGAAAGAGATAGAGGGTTAGGGGGGTTGCAACTGTGGATCCCCCCTTTCTCTGTTCCCCGGTTGTTGTTCCTTCGACAATTAGCCGCTACCCGCTAATTACCCCCTGTATCTGAAGGGGAAAAATCGTCATCTGATAAGGCCGACTTCAGGGGATGCTATTCGCCTCCCAGCAGACATGTTCGCCGTGAGAAAGAAGAAACCCCCCCAGTCCTCCCGACGGGAATCACTGCCGTTGTGTTAGCTGTTACTCGGAGGAGCTGTTTGAACGGTGGGACGAAGAGGGAGCTAGAGACTCTTCTCCAGCTCCAGCTGCCATCCTACTCCTGCTCCTGCTCCTGCTCCTCCTGCTCCTCCCCCTCCTCCTCCTCCTCCTCCTCCACCAGAACCACTTCTCTTTCTCATCACATCCAGAGGTAAATAAGCCAGATTCAACGATAACAACATTTTTTCCGGACAAATAGTTACCCCCCCTTGAGTGTTTTAGCTTTAACAGACACATCAGGCAGCCGCTGGGAACCGTTAACAGGATCAGCCAAGGGGATCATTCTGATTTGTGATGAGGTCTTTGCTTTGTACCCCTGCTTCCCTGGCGTCGGGTCGGGGTTACGCTTCCTTAGGCAAGTCCGAGGTCCACTTTTTGAGCTAGAGATGCGTCGATGAAGGCCATAGCAAGTGTGAGTTGAAGATCTAAACCCATACACGACCCGTGTTATAAAAAGAGCGACACAGAGTAGACAACCCACAGCTAGCTAGGTTTGATGCACTCCCGGCGGTGCTAGCTTAGGCAAGTTACAGATACCTTCCCAGTTAGCCTACGTTAGCTAACTTACATCCCCAGTTGGTGCTAGCCGGCTAACCCCGAGTTGATTTTAGTCACTTTTACAGACGTCGTTATGCTGCTCTTACTCGTAGCAAGCGAATGCCACCCCAAAATAATAATATGTGAGTAATAATACAGTCACATCTGGTATTAAGACAAGCTAACGTCGCTGGTAAGTTATGGGTTTGGACAGCCCCGGAAACCTTAACACTGTAACAAAAGAGATAATTTGAGACATGACGTTAACTACAAGGTTTTGTAAATTGCCTTCGTCTTTTGTTTAGTTTAACGTTAGTAGATTTCAGCTGCGAATATGAATATAAAAAACGCAGACACGCTGACGTTTGTTTAGAGATACATAGAGAGACACACAGAGATACGGAATCGTTGAAACTTTTTGTCATCAACGTTAAATCTATCATAGATTTGTCACCACCCGAGTCCACTTGCAATGACTTACTGCGTTCGTATGAGAGCTAAAATTGTTAATAGTTTGTATGTTTGTGCAGCAATTGCATGTTCGACTTGAGCAGGGTTTAAATACCACAGCTAACAATTTTCCTCACTGAAAGTGTGTGTTTATAGAGGAAAAAACGAACAGGGAACAAGCACGTTTGGACACCAGAAGGTGTTAAAAATCAATAACTTATAAAGACATGCCCAGGCTTGCTGTAAGGCCGGTATAAACTGTCTACGTCAGAGGTGCAGTTATGTTGGCAGTGTAATAATGCACACTCATGAACTGACACATTTTTAAATCCCCAACCCAGAGGAAGCACACTGTAGTTAGATTGAAACTCTTGGCTATTTCTCAATACTCATAATCCTAACAGGAACAGTGCTGCTTGTAATGGCATCAAACTTTGTTGCCAGTGAACATCTTGTCTCTCTGTTGCCACTTTTTTTGTTGTCTCTGCAGCATTTTGGAGATGTGAGGAATAGGAAGAGTTTGGTGATACTGAGCAGCCTGTGCATTGACACGACCTCTTGACCTCATCTTCAGCATGAATGGTGATATGCCTCATGTTCCCATCACTACTCTCGCTGGAATTGCTAGCCTGACAGACTGTAAGTTCAACATCATCTCTCTAATACTGTTCACACAGCCTAAACACAAACAGGGCAGACTGAGGTAAAGTGGCTTATATTTCTGAAGATGAGAAGTTGTAGGCGCAAAGATCCCAAACCTGTTTTAATGAAAGCAAAAATGAATAACTGTTAAAACAATGTAACATCAAACATATTACAAAGATGTGATTTACTGCAGAACTACTGTATTGGATTGCATTAGATTGTGAAAGTAATAAAGGGGTAACTTAATAAACATAGAGCTTGATGGATCTTTCTTCACTCTTATGTTAACATACTTTTAAGGCCTTTTGATAAAAAGATAGACAGCATGTTTATTATATTATTATAGCATTTAAAATAAATCATGAAAGAGCTGGCATGTATTCTGAGGACGTCAGTATGTTTATTCTGATTAGAAAAAATGAAATCTAATAAATGTATTCTGAGTTTAGATTAATTTATTTAATTTCACCCGAAAATATACATGTAAAATATATCAAGCTCAAGTGAACATATCTTAAAATGTACATTGTCTGTGCGCCAGATGCATGTTTTCCAATTTTAAATCCTTATATACTCAAATATTTTCTCATACTGAGCTTTTCCAAAACAGTTTTATCATTTTCCAGCCAACCTAACTTGTCTTTCCATCATCATCCTTTTAGTGTTGAACCAGCTGCCCTTACCTTCTCCTCTCCCTGCCACCACCGCTAAGAGTCTGCTCTACAATGGAAGGATCTCCGAAGAGGTCAGCAGCCTGCTGGGGTGTCGGGATGAGAATCTGGTGACTCAGCTGGCACAAAGCCTTAACCAGGTCTCCACTGAACACATGTAAGTACCACTCACCCATCTTTTACACCTCACTGACAGTTAAAAAGAGAATTCAAATGTAAAAATAAAAAGCTAGATGAAATAGAGGCTTGCCAGTAGTGACTAGCAGGTTTGTAGAGGTGGCTAATTCTAAAATTTGTTTAGAATTAGGGAAGAAATTGTTGTCGCCTGGAGGGGATCACGCTTGTGGTGGTGTGTGTTTATCTGTCCGCAGCTAATCTAGCATACTACTGGACCCATCACCCTAATATTTTTGTACACATTGCACTTTACTGAGTGCACTCTTGTAGTTGTTAAGTTGATTTTGTTGTCAGCTGTGGTAGTGCGAATGCATTAAAAAGTGTTGTTTCAATATTTACTTTAATAGTGAAGTTAGGCATTGCTGGTTCAATTACAATGACCACATTACAGTCACTGTTTTTCTAAATGGGTCAGCTAATGCTCTGGGTCGTCAGAAACATGAAGGGCTAGTCTAAACTGCACAGAAAATGATCATTGACATCGGAAGGAATCAAAATGCATTAGTCAAAACTGCATTTAGGCCAGTGGGCAGCTACTGCCTGGAATATGACTGTGGACTGTACTTTTGTTTGCTT